ACAGGCTGAGCCAGCCAGCCCGGCTGGGGCAATAATTTTAAAAGGTTGAGAAACATTGTCTTAGGGCAAGGACTCCTGGACTCCTCAAAGATTTAAGATCTGACACATCAAATGCACTTTTTAAAGTTTTAAAAGTTTGTATTTAAAATGTATTTGCACCTCCTTTTCTTTCTAATCTACTACAAAACACTTTTTTTTGCAATGTTCTAAATTTAGACATTAAAAAATTCAATACAGTACAGTATATAAAACCCAACCTATGCCAAGGCTGTTTTTGTGACAAAAGGCATTTTTGAAAAATGACTTTCCCTTTGAGGTCAGACTGTTTGGTATGGCAATCTGGCAGCAAGATTTTGCAGAAGGCAGTGGAAGGAACGTTGGGCACCAGAAATATATACGTGTCCATCCCAGATTTGCTCGGGATTAGTTTTGCCATCAGGGGAAGTCACTGAATGCCCCTGAGCCCCGGTTTCCTAATCTGTCAAACAAGAATATTAATACCTAACCTAGGGTTGTGAAAGGATTTGAGATAAAGAATGTCAGGTGGGTGTCACTTACTGTCCTGATTTAAGTAATAAGGATAAAGTGAAAATTAACTGGATAGAAGGGAACAAGGCGCCCAGTGGATCTATTTTGCCAGACTTCACAAACATCCTGTTTGGACTCCTGCTGCTTCCATTAAAAATAAAAATAAAAATCCTTTCACACAGAATGTAGTCCCTGCCGAATTTAAATAAACTCACAAGGATTATCGGTAGCTTACAAAGTAAGATGTAGGCTTTGCATCAATGAAGAGACATGAGGATGATCAGATAGCAGCAAGGAGAAGCATTCCTCCTGCTTCGTAAAAATCACCATGATTTATTTCTTTAATGAAACAATCAGGGGCTTATGCAGGCACAACAGCTGTGGTTTTATGAAGGGAAAATAAGCCAGAATTCCTTACGGTGGGGCTGCTGCCACAAGGGGTCAGATCTGGATTATTGGTGTAGGCTGGCATCACCCCGGAGTAGCACAAGCATGACTAGCTATCACAAAACTTTAAATAACTTGCAGTTGTTTTAGGTGAGAAAAGCTCAAGCAATAGCAAACCAGACCAGCTCAAGTAAGGGCTTCAGTGTCTTTGATCTGAGCTGAGGTGAATGCCTGGAGCCGGAACACAAGAAGGAACACGGTTATCTTGAAGCTCACGCTGGTCGCTGGTTGCCCACTCAACAGATGTGAGCAGTTTAGCTGTCGCCATAAATCAAGGGTTTTTCCCCTCAAAAGTTATAAATAGGGATGTGTAAATATTTTGGATTCATCAGCCTCCAAGTATTCAGATGTTCTGGGTTCAACCAAACTTAATACATCGTGCTGAGCAAATTTCCTCCTGATTTTTTTAGGACCGTCTGTGATTTATGGGAAATGGAATCCATATGTTTCTGCTTCATTTACACTTAAATCATCAAAAGATTGTGTGTTGTAAGAGCTATTTCATGTCCAAGATGCCTCTGAGCATGATTTTTAGAAAAATATATAAGCAGCTTAAAATTTGTGGTCCCTTTATAAGACGGGGGGGTGGGGGGGGGAGACAGAGAGACAGAGGGAGAGAGAGAGAGAGAGAGAGAGAGAGAGAGAGAGAGAGAACAAGAACACACCTAGGAAAGCCTCTTTTGCCAAGACGAAATACATTTGAAAACCAGGAAGTTCAATTCAGGCTGAAACTACAAACCTATTAATTTCAAATGAGTCCAGAATTTGGGAGAAAATGAAGTTTCCTCTCCAGCAAGTTTCAGAAGCACCTTTGATGAATATAGAAAAGCAGCTGTCGGCCCGGCAACTGCTCCAGGGAAAAGAGGGCGGCGAAAGCTCCTTGAGCTACCCAGCTAACGGCGCCTGGAGGCTCTCTTACTCTTGGGCCTCCTGAGAGCCGTCGCTCCAGTCCGGATCAAGTCTCTGCCCGGTTTTGGCGTGGAAACACCGGCTCTCGCGATGTTTCCGGGGGGCTGTCCTCCAGTCGTAGGCCAGCACTTCCCGTCTGTGCTTCGGCCGCTTGGTGCCCTCGGCCAGCCCGTGGGCTGCCTGTTGTGTGTGCGTTTGGGATGGGTTTGCTTATTTATTGGGCAGTTTCTTTAGAGACGGATCTCATTCGCTCCCAAAAGGACCAAGTCATGCAGTTTGTGTAAAGTGAAAAGTATGGGAACTAGAGACTTACAAGGTAGTAAAAGGCCACAGGTAAAACTAAGTCTCCCTGCCCCCATCTCGACATTTAGTCTCTGACATCTTGGTAGCTCTTATGCCCTCTTACGTTTGTACTCTTATTTTTATATGGTATCCTTTAAAATATTTTATGTGATAACATAACAGATATCTTTAAATCTCTGCAGAGGATTTCTCTATTCATCATTAAAGTATTATAGCAAATTAGGATGTGGGACTTCATCGTCCAGTGGGGTCTCCAGACTGTGTGGTCTGAAATCACTTCAGCAGAATTAACAGTCCTGTGAATTACCTATATATCCCAATTCATTATCTGAGAATGAAGGACAAGATTTTGAGATATTAGAGGTTACTTTTTTGCTTCTCTCGTCCCTAATCCTAAAGATCATTCAATAAAATGTTTCTTAATCTCACCACCCGTAGGTAATCACTGTTAGCATTTTGGTGTATGTCCTTTGAGTTGATCTTGTGCATGCACATGTGCACAAATGCACGCAGTTTAATAAGATTGTACTATCTATTCTGGGTTATAGCTTCTCTTTTTCATTTAGTAGATATATTGTGCACTTTCCCCATATTAATAAACTATTTTTGCCTCTGAGCTTGAATACTTGTATACTATTTCACTCTGAGATTGCATCACAATTATCTTAATATCACAGAATATTTGTAAATATGAGCTTTAAAAATCAACATTTCAGATATATTTTTAAATGTCAACTTTTTTTAAGAAACATTTTCTGTATCTTAAGACAAACTAAGTATAACTTCTAATCTTACAGTTTCTTGCATCTTAGAGCAAAATAGAAAACATCTTTTGAGAATCATGGAAAATATCCACTTTGTTTAGAAAAGACCAAGCTCTTCTATTTAGACAGTACTTTTAAAACATCCCTAGGAAAAAATCAATAAGTTAATCGGTAAATATTGTTTCTTTTTCTTCTACATCCAAAACGAAAACAAAAACCCCTGTGACTTAAATTCATCTGCCTCTCCTTGTTGGATGCTCAGTCCATTGGTAAAGATGCTGGAATCAGTTTATAAGACAGCTAAAGTCCACACTCATTTTGCTGTCTGTTTCTGAGTTCCTTCCCCCCATGTTTTGGATTTTTCCAATCAGTTACTAGAGAACTCAGTTCTGTCCCTTTTGTTGACAGGTTGCCAGGATACATCCAGGAGACAAAGGCTGTGGTTCCTGTTACCCAGCAAGCAGCCTCAAACTAACACCAACTCCAAAAGAAGGGATGTGAATCTTGGAGCGCCTGGCTAATTTGCTCCATTTCCACCAGCCTCCTCCCTGAATACTCAGAGGTGCTCAGCATTCCATGCTAAAAAACAACATAGAAAAGTAAAGAATAAATGTTACAAGGTAAGGTTCTCAGACGGTGTGCTGTTTCTCTGTTGTCTGGTAGCTCTTAATTCTCAAACTTTTCCTTTCAACTAATAACGACTGCTTACTTGAGATAGTCTTGGTCTCTCACTTGTTTCTCACCCATGTGCAATAAATATTTCCTTGCTATAGAAAAGAAGATTAAAAAACCCCAATTAATCCTTAAGCAAAAAACCTCAAGTACTACTAAAAAATAAATACAATATACTTTGTTGGATGATGGTGGCAATAATAGGTGAACTATGGATCAAAGTTTCTAATAGCTAAAAGATAATTAAATTCCACTTAAAGGAATGATTTTTAAAATAATTTTCTTCAAAGAAAAGTAGATAGAATAGGTTTTTGACATTAATCCAGAGTTATATGCTTATTAGCCAGATAATACATGAAAGAAAAAGGGCAATAAAGGCTCTAGTTAGTCAGTTGACTTGGCTATTTTTTGTTTTCAGTTGAGATAAAATCTATTTGGAGTGGAATGTAACCAATCATGAGTTCTTAAATTCAAGCTCCTAAAATCAATGAGTTTAAACTCATTGATGTAACCATGTAACCATCACCTCAGTAGGCATAGGACATGTCTATCACCCCAAAAAGTTTCTTGTGTCCTTTCCAGCCAATCTTCACTCCATAACAACCACTGTTCTGATTTTTATCACCAAAGAATTGTTTGGTCATTTATGAACTTTATATAAATAGAATCATACAGTATATATTCTTGTATCTGACTTTGGCTCGGCAGAATGTTTTTCAAATATTTTTTCTGTTGTTTTGTAAATCAGTAGTTCTTTTTACAGGTGAGTATAATTGCATTACATGATTATTTCACATTTTTTTATTCTGTTGATTAATATTTTATTTGTTTCTAGTTTGGGCCTCCTATAACTAAAATGGCTATAAACTTTCTTGCACAAGCTTTTTCACCACAATTTTATTATTTATTTTTAAATTTCTTCCAGCATTATTGGGATATGATTGACAAATATAAATTGCATTTATGAGAGGTGACCCCCCCCCAAAAAAAAAACAGAATTATTTTTTGGAAGACGGGTCTCTTGTAATACAAGCTTCTTCCATAGGTAAGTGGTCTAGGAACCCATCAGCACTAGATACCAGCTAGTGGTGGTGTGATAGGCTGAATTTGGCTTCAGTGAAATTTTTTTTTTTTTTGGAGGTTCTTTCAAAACATTTGCTCTTTTCATGATGGATGATGTACATGAGCAACCTGCCCACACTGTCCTGTTAGCAGTTTCTGACCAAAAAAACAGCATGACTCCCTTTATCCCCATCTTCTCTATTCCCCTTGACCTTGCTCTGAGCGCCTTATTTTTGTTTCCCGGGATGAAAAAAGTCCTCAAAGGGAAACATTTTGCTGATGTGTAAGAGGTGAAACAAAAAAATGGCAGGGGCACTAAAGGGAATCAAAATTGATGAGTTCAAAAACGGTTTAGAACAGTGGAAAAGGCGACTCTAAAGGTGTATTACATCAAACGGAGAGTACTTTGAAGATGACTGAATTTTAAACATGTAAGAACAAATACACAATTTTTTTATAAATAAATTCTGGGTTGTTTTGAGTCCCCTTCTTATTTAGGATGTACAATGAGAAGTTTTGTTTTATGTATATATTGTAAAATGATTACCACAATCAAACTAATTAAAATATTCATCACCTCACATAGGTACCTTTTTTACTTTTTGGTGGTGATGAGAATACTTGGGATCTAATATCTTGGCAAATGTGTATACTACATTATTACCAACTATAGTCACCATGCTGTACTTTAGGTCTCCAGTACCTATTCATCGTATAGCTGAAAGTTTGTACCCTTTGACCAGTATCTTCCCTTCACCCCATCCCCCAACCCCTGGTAACCATGAGTCTACTAAAATGACCAACAGGTATATGAAAAGATGCTCAACATCTTTAATTATCAGAAATACAAACAAAACCACAATGAGATATTACCACACATCTATTAGAATGGCTGCTATAAAAAAGACCAAAGATAAGTGTTGGTGAGGATGTGAAGAAAAAGATATCCTTGTATACTGTTGGTAGGAATGTAAATTTTTACAGTTATTATTGAAAACAGTACGGAGGTTCCTCAAAAGGTTAAAAATAGAACTATCATATGATTCATCAATCCTACTTCTGAGTATCTATCTAAAGTAAACTTTGGGAGACAGAGGTGAAAGGATTGCCTGAGCTCAGGGGTTTGAAACCAGTCAGAGCAACTTGGCGAGACCTTGTCTCCAATAAATAAACAAATTAACCGGGCATGGTGGTGCATGCGTTTGGTTCCAGCTACTTGGAAGGCCGAGGCGGAAGTATCACCTGAGCCCAGCAGGTTGAGGCTGTAGTGGCCATGAGCAGTGTTCCACTGCACTCCAGCCTGGGTGACAGAGTGAGACTCTGACAGAAATATAAATAAATAAAAATAAAGTAAATGAAATCAGTATGTAAAAGAGATATCTACACTTTCTTGTTTATTGCAGCATTATTTACAATAGCCAAAATTTGGAAACAATTTAAGTGTTCATCAACAGATGAATGGATAAAGAAAAGGTGGTATTACATATAATGGAATATTATTGAACCTTAAAAAAAAGAACAAAATCCTGCCATTTACAACAATATAGATGAACCTAGAACATCTATATCTATGCTAGTGAAATAAGCCAGACATAGAAAGACAATACTATATAATCTCACTTATGTAAAACTGCACAAGTCTTTTGCTGGATATATATGTTCATTTATTCCGGATTTAGACCTGTAATGAATTTCAAGGGTGATAGGGTGGATATTTATAGTGAATAGAAAATGATATGTCACTATGATAATGAAATTATGACTAATGAAATTGAGCACTTTTACATGGGATTGTGGAGATTTGTATCTCTTTTTAATTCTTGATTTAATTACTGACTCCTTTTAATTATCACATATTTCACTCATTTTATTTTATTTTTATTTCAATAGCTTAGGGCGTACAAACGATGCATGGATCATCATGGATGCATTGTTTAGTGGTGAAGAAGTCTAGGCTATAAGTGTATCCTCCACCCCAACCTATGCATATTGCACCTGATAGGTGATTTTTCATTATCAGTCCCCTGCTCCCTTGCCCCTTCTACATCTCCAGTGTCCATTATGCCATTCCATATGCCTTTGTAGTTCCTTAGTTTAGCTTCTACTTGTAAGTGAGAACATGCAGTGTTTGGTTTTCCATTTCCGCATTACTTCACTTAGAATGGTGTTCTCCAGTTCCATCCAAATTGCCACAAAAGACATTATTTCATCCCTTTTCATGACTGAGTAGTAATCTATGGTCATGGTAAATATACATATGATATATATTATATATCACATTTTTGTTATCCTTCAGTCAGTTGATGGGCTTTAGGTTGATTCCACATCTTTGCAGTTGTGAATTTTTTACCCATTTTAAATGTTTTTCTTTTTTATAATGCCTTTATTGATGGATAATTTACATATAAGATGCAGCTATTTTAAGTATACAATTTGGTGATTGACAAATAATTACAACCTTGTAACCACCGACGATATCAGTATAAGAACATATACAAGCCAGGCTCAGTGGCTCAGCCTGTAATCCCGCGCCTTTGGGAGGCCGAGGTGAGTGGATTGCCTGAGCCCGCGGGTTCGAGACCCGCCTGGGCAGCGAGACCTCATCTCTACAATAAATCTAAAAATCAGCCGGGCGTGGTAACGCATGCCTGTAATTCTGGCTAATCGGAAGGCTGAGGCGGAAGGATCGCCGGAGCCCAGCAGGTCGAGGCTGCGGTGGCCGGGAGCAGCCACAGCACTCCTGCACTCCAGTCTGGGCAACAGAGTGAGACTCCAACTCAAAAAAAAAAAAAAAAAAAGAACATATACATTAACCTTTGGAGTCAATTCTCCACCCGTGCATCTACTCACCAAACAATCATTTATATTTTGTGTCACTACAGATTAGCTTTGTCTTTTCTGGTATCTCATATAAATGAAATAATCCAGTACATACTCTTTTGTATCTAATTTTTTCAGCATCATCTTTTTCAGAGGAATCCATGTTGCTGTGTATATGATAGTTTATTCATTTTTTAAACTGTGGAACAAGATTCTATTGTATAAATATGCCATCATTTTTATCCATTAATCTGTTGATATATATTTATGTTGTTTCCAATTTTTCACTATTATGAGTAAAGCTGCTATAAACGTTTGCATATGACTTTTTGTGAACATATACTCTCATTTTTCTTAGGTAATTATTTAAATTGCCAATACCACTGGGTAGGTATAGGTTTAATTTTATAAGAAATTATTGGCCGGGCTGGGTGGCTCAGCCTGTAATCCTGCGCCTTTGGGAGGCTGAGGTGAGTGGATTGCTTGAGCCCGCGGGTTCGAGACCCTCCTGGGCAACTTGGCAAGACCTCATCTCTACAATAAATCAAAAAATCAACCGGGCGTGGTAGCGCGTGCCTGTAGTTCCAGCTACTTGGAAGGCTGAGGCGGAAGGATCGCCTGAGCCCATCAGGTCGAGGCTGCGGTGGCCGGGAGCCGCCACTGCACTCCAGTCTGGGTGACAGAGTGAGACTCCAATTCAAAAAAAAAAAAAGAAAGAAATTATTGAACAGTTTTTCTGAGTGGTTGTAAAATTTCACATTCCCACCAAGCATTTATGAAAGTTCCAGTTTTTTTACATCTTCCATTTGTCTTGGCAATCTTTTTAATTTTAGCCATTCTAGTATGCACGTCTAGTGCTATCTCTGAAGTTATTTGTTTTGTTTTATTCTGTTTTATTTTTTTGAGTTGGAGTATCACTATGTCGCTCCTACCGGAGTGCAGTGGCGGCTCCCGGCCACCGCAGCCTGGATCTGCTGGGCTCTGGCGATCCTCTCAGGTAGCTGGAACTACAGGTGCGCGCTACCATGCCCGGCTAACTTTTGAT